TGATCTCACGGTTCGTGAGTTCGAGCCCTACGTCCATCTCTGGGCTGACAGCTCAGAGCCTGGAGCCCACTTTAGATTCTGTGTCTCCCTCTGTCTGCCCCTCCGCTGCTTGCACTCTGTCTCTCACATTGTCTCAAAAATAAATAAACGTTAAAAAATTAAAAAAATAATAAAATAAAACCACTTGTAAGTGATTGTGTATCTCTTTTGAGTGTGTTGAGATCTCTACTCACATGCTCACCTTCTGAAACGCAGGAGCTGATCTGTCCTCATTCACATATCTTAGCACAACCCCCTGCACACATTGGGTTCCTTAGAAATTCTGTCCAGTAGCTGATGGACCAAAGGGGACATGGCCTTTCAAAGGAAGCCCGCAATTCCCCAGTTGGGAAGGCACACACACAACATACTCACCCGTAGAATCTGAGTCCTGAGGATACAAATGGACCCGACCAGATAAAACCGATCCTCCAGAGGAAGATATGTACCACACGATTCAGCAAAAGAGGGACTGGGGAAGAAGCTACTGAAGAGCACCAAAGGCTCTAAGGGAGACAGAGACACACATGTGACAATCAAATAGAAAGGCAGGCTGTCTACACAAGAAAATGAACACCTGACACATCAGTGCACTATTTGCCAGCCCACTGATAATTTTCAGAATCCTGAGTCACAGATTTTTCCTGCCTTCCTTCTGTTCCAGCTATCCTCCTTACCCTGGTCTCCAGCAAAACATGAAGAAGTCATTACTGAGAAATAATTGTTGCAAGTTCAGGGTGATATTCAACCTTGTGTTCTTACTCTGTGGATGGATTTTATAGTCTTCAAAAGAAATTTAGCTCCCCTCTTTTATATAGGGCACAGGGGTATTAAATATGTGTGTAATTTGTGTGCATATGTAGTCAACTGAATGTTTTAAAAGTATACGACCCTTAATTTTCAACACATATGACAAACACCAGACAACCATTGTGTGAACTAATTTTGATTGTTATTTACTCATTCATTCATTCGCTATATTTTTTAGACCTCAGTATCAAAGAACCGAGTTAATTACACTCTTAGTCCATGGAATAGAATGAACACAGATAAAGTCTCTACTCTTGATTTTTCTGATCCTTCTGCACCCACAGACACCCATTGCCATCTACCACTTTTAATATCTAAACTTGCAAAATATGTAGTCTGGTTTTATGTGTATGTGCTTACCACTTACAAAGGTGGCATTGTGCTATAGATCTCATTCTGTTTCTTACTTTTTTCAATCAACATTATGGTTTTAAGATTTAACTGGAGTGCCTGGGTGGCTCAGTCGGTTAAACATCTGACTTTGGCTCAGGTTGTGATCTTGCAGTCCATGGATTAGAGCTATGCACTGTGCAGCCTGCTTGGAATTCTCTCTCTCCCTCTCTCTCTGCCCCTTGCCCACTCATACTCTCTCTCTCTCTCTCTCTCTCTCAAAATAAATAAACTTAAAAAAAAGATTTAACCATGTTGTAGTATATATATCCGAGGTCACTGCTTTCAAAGTTTTCCATATTGCACATTTTTCTCATTTTACTTGCCCATTTCCCTAATGATGCACACCTAGGCTGTCTCCAACTCCCTCCAACCATAAAAAACACTATGGCATATATAGCACATGTCCCCTTAGGCACAGATCTCTCTGTAAGTTTGCCTCTGGTATATCTCCACCCAGTGATGAGACTGCTGAGTCACAGATTAATTAACATAATTTAAGTTCACTCTGTTTTTCAGGAATGCTTCATGAGTTTACATTCCTCTCAACACTGTATTAGTGTTTTATTTCTCACCTCCTCACCAATATTTGTTTATTATTCACACTTCCTGATTGCTGTCATTCAGATGGGTGTACAGTGCTATCTCACTGGTTTTTAAATCTTTCATTCTTTGCTTACTAGTGAGTTCAAGCATCTTTTCACATATTCGTTGGGCTATTTACCTATGGTTCAAGCCCTAGATGTTTTAATGGCCCCATATCAGTGTTTATGTTAATTTCTCAGCCAATAGATCCTGAAACCTTGAAAATTGTAAATTTGGACTCCATATCCACACAACACTGATTTGGGGTTTGATTTCTTGTAAATGACACATATTTTTTTCCATTCAAATTCTGAGGGAGATGGCAAACATTATTCCTCTAGGCCAGTGGACAGGATTTTACTGATCATGTTAAGTTTCTAGGTTTTATGTATTAGTCCTTGAATGAATGTTAGCACTCCAGACCCCAGCCAGCGAAGCCCATGGATGATGCATAACCCACCTAGGCCACCACCTAGGCTTCCTCTTATCATTATAGTCTTGTACTTTATACTCTAATTCCTGTCACCCAAGGACTTAACTTTCCTTTAAGCTTGGGTATGCATCAAACTTCTTTTGTTATGTTTTAAAAATTGTTTCCTTGTTTTTGTAGAAGGAAAGAGTCATTCTTACTAGTTCAATCCACCATATTACCAAGTGACACTATCTTGTGAATTTCAGTATTTTTTAAACTGAATATTTAATATAATTTTTAATAATAAAAGGGATGAAACAAGGATTAGTTGTTTATAATAGGCGCTAAATATTTCTGTAAAAGGTATTCCATTTTTCAAAGGAGTTTCCCCTATTTCCCTGTCTTTTCTATCTTCCTCAGAGCAATAAACAGTAATTACAACTCTCATAAGTAAGCTGCTCTGTTGTATTGGACAGTAATTATATTTATATGTTTCAAGTCTTCATCATCTCCAAACCCCCTCCTCCTTTTACTGCACAGTCTCACTGCACTGTTTCACAAAAACATTGCACTCTGCTAAAATTCATAGAGTCTGAACAAAAGCTAGAGGCCCAAGCATTTTTGGATACCAATTTAGTAGCAGTGTCTACTGGCACAAACCTATTTATTCCTAACTGCAATAGAAATGAAAACTACTTCAATGAACAAGCAACTCAGGAATAAGATCATTAAATATAACTAAACATATTTTAAATATAAATATTACCTATTTTCTGATTAGTGTCAGGTAAGTATATAAGCTATCTATCCCGAAATTCTGATCTCAGAGAAAAAGGTCAGAGACATTTACAAACAAGGTGTTTCATATTATCAGGTCCACTTTTAAAACAATAAGATCCTTTGGAACAATAACTTTAGTCTTTCTTTTTATCAGAGATTTCTGTTGGTCCTTCTTTTGGTAATCCATTTATATAATCACTCATAATCTAACTTTCCCTTTGTTTTTATCATGGAATTCTTTTTCAAAAGTCTGATCAGTGTCTACAACCAAACCGCTATGGTCACAGGGATATAAGAGAATCTGAGGGCGCCGGCAGTGGAAAGGCATTTATGTTAGCAACGAAGGGCTATGAAACACATTAACTTTATCTAAATTAGACTGAAAACTGAATTGCTTACCATTTGAAATATCTTTTAAAGTCAGAATGAATTTCACATATTCATAAGTAGGGTTACTACCACGTTTATCATTTCCTCTCTTTATATGACAGCAAAAGTCAGTATGTTTTCCCACTAAGAAAAAAAAAAGATACAAAACACATTTACAATTGTATGTTACCATATTTTGCAGGATTATTTCATAGGACCATTGTCTTACTTAGAACAGATTTTTAAAAAATATCATTTTCTTTCCATGAACATTAGCACTGGCATAGCTATCTATGTTGTAACTGTAGAGTGGAGTACCAGCTAGAACATTATATAACACTAATACAATTATACAAAAGCTCAAATAATCAGGGTTCATGACAAAGAACAAGACTTAATGGAGAAGAAATATTTTAATACTAGAAATATAATTTGCGTAATTGTATTAAGTTAATATATAATCAGCAGCTATATTGGCTCTAAGGTCTTTATTTTTATTACTCCTTTGAGTAGTTGTTACTTGGGTCTTAAAATCTAAGAACTTACAATTTAGGAGACACAATCCATACCTGAGCTTGACGAAGGAAGTTTGAGAGAAATCTTTTGGTGGACTTCACTTTTCTCATGATCAGGCAGAAGACTTAATAATTTTTTACCCACAATCTCATCCTTAAGAAATACAGAGAGAATACGTTTTGTTACATGTGCTATTACTGTTCACTTCCTCTACCTCCTTACTCCAGTAAACTTATCATCTGCTCCCCCTCAGCCATCTCATGGTCATACCTATTATACCTCTACAAGTCCCAGTTCACATTACTCCACTCTATGTCCATCACCTCCTACCTTTCCAGTGCACGCACGCAAGTACCCTACCTCTCCAACAATTACTCCACACGCTGAGACCTCCAGTTCATTCCCATCACATTTTTACTGTGCATTATCTCCTGTAAATTGTCATATCCCACTTTGCTCAGTTCAGATTCCACCATGAATCACTATAAGCACTCCCATGTTCAACTTCTGACATATATGTCTGGGAAAATCCCAACTCTGGTTAATTTCAACTCTTCATATACCTTGTACCTTCACCCAAGCAACCGCATGTCTATGGCAACCATGCCATGTATTATTTTAAATGGGCACACAGATCTGTATGGAAATCATTCTTCATTTCCTTAGACAATTCACTCTCCCACTCTTCAGTGCGACTCTTTCTTGCCTTTTCTTCCTTTTTAAAACCTCCAAGCCTCCCTCATCCTCATATTCAGCTGGGGATCTCATTTTTTATTGAAATATAAAACAAAGGGGAAAGAAAATGTCAATATCTTCCTGCCATCTAATCTACCAACCCATTTGTTTCTGTGGCTAGAGACCTATTTTTTCTCCTATTCCAAGGAATAAGCTTCCACTGAAGTCTAGTGCACTGCCTTTCATCCTCTCTCAACTATTCAAGGACATCATTCCAAAAATTTCCCCCTACCTCCCACATCATTAAACTTTCCCTCTCTACCAGGTCTTTCCCATAGCATGTAAATGCTATATCAGGGAAGCTATAATATCAGTTATCTTAAAAACAAAAACAACACAGAATTCCAAAAATCCAAAACTTTCCTTGACCCTACATTCTCTCCTCTGGCTCTTCTTTGGCATACTTTGGAACAAAAATCTTTGAAAGGAACTATACTTGCTGCCTCTCATTTCTTTAGCTTTCACTCTGCCTTGAAACCACACTAACCAGATTTTTACCCTAACCACTCCACTTTTGTCAAGGTCACCAGTGATCTCCACACATTGCCAAATCCAATCGTCAATTCTCAACCCTCACTAACATCTCAGCATTTGATACAACAAATCCCTCCTTCTTCTTGACACACTTTATTTATACTCGGCTTCCAGAATACCATACAAATATGGCTATCCTTCTGCTTTGAAGGCTACTCCCTCATGGTTTTATTAGCTGGATCTTTCTCCTCTGTCTGACTACTTGACACTGGGGTTCGTAGGGCCTAGTCATTAGATCTCTTTTACTATGCTGTCTTTTGTGGGCAGTCTCTTTCTGTTGTAGCTCATCCAATACCAACTATCTTTGTACCTCCAGTCCAGACTTCTCCCTGAAGTCTTCTAGATAACTCATCTTAGATGTCTAATAGGATTTCAATTTTAAGATGTTCAAAATAGTGCACCTGACTTTTTCCCTCACAAAGCATGCTACTCCTTCAGTCTTCCACATTTCAGTAAATGACACCATCATTTACCCTCATGCTTGTCCTTGACTTGCCTTTTTCCTCCTAAACCCCAAACCCAGTCAATCAGCAAACTCTGTTGGTAAAACAGTCAAAATGGATGCAGAATCGGTCCACTTTTCACCACATGGGCTAAACCATAATCTCTAGGTTGGATTACTGCAACAGCCTTACCTCCTCTCCCTGTATTTATTTTTGAAGCGTCCCTGCTCCCACTCCATTCTTCACAGAACAGCTACAATGTTTCATTTAAAACATAAGTCAAGTTTTCCTCTACTTAACATTTTCCACCAGCTACCCAAGTGATTCAGAGCAAAAGCCAAAGTAATTTCAATGGCTTATATAGTTCTATGTTCTCGTCCCTTGCTGTTCATTGACTTTAGTCCCTCCCATTTTTTATGCTTGCTCACTGCATTCCAGGTACACTAAACTCCTTGTTCATATCCAAATACACCAAGCAAATAGTCACCTTGGGGCCCTAAAATGCTCTTCATTCAATGTGAAACATTGTTTTCTAGATATTTACAATGATGTTCTCCCTTACTTCATTCAAGTCTCCACTCAAAAGTATTTTAAACAGAACTGATTTCTTGACATTCTCTTCCTGCATTTTTTTCATAACACATTCATTACCACCTGACATTATAGTCACATGTATATGTTTATCTGTTTATTATCTGTCTCCCTCAGTAAAATGTAAATAACATTAGAACAGAGACCTTTGCTGACTTATTCACTATTAAATCCTCAACACCTAGAACTCAGCTTGGCACAAGTGAGCATTCAGTAAATGTTAGTTGAATGAATAATGCTATACCATGTAGCTGAAATATGGTGACACATGGATAAATTGAATATCAGACATTAAGTTAAGTAATGAGTTTTTAATGTGATAGGAACAAAGTAATAAACAAAGTATTCTTTGTAGCTGAATAATGGTTTTGGGTGATGAACCACAGATTCAAATAATTTTTAAATGAATAATATTAATAATGTACAGTCAAATTCAGAAATATATTTTATGGTCCATTTGTAGAAGCTAGCCTATGAGTTAGCCAATGTTCAAATTAGCAGATTGATCCTGACTCAATCAAAAAAAAAAGCATGGCTTGATTGAGGGCAGAAATATTACCTTAATTTAGCAAACAAAACATTATGAAATTAACAAGCAATAAATTTTGACAATGAAAGTCATTCAATAAGAAATTTACCTCCCAAAAGAAATATAGATATTTTTCATTAAACTTCACTTTTTCAATAAAAATTATTTTATTAGTTTAGTTATGAAACAAACTATAGGTACCAAACCAAGTTACCTCTGGTCAGTGGAAACCACTCATTCATTCATTTATCTAACACATGATTAACAACTGCTCCATGCCAGACACTGTGCTAGGTATATTCACACAAATAAGCTATCATAACACCCTGTGAGAGGAAAAATTATCTCCTATTTTGTTGATGAAGAAATTAAGGCTTGTTCAATTATTGAGAGATCAGAAGTTCAGTGGTAAATTTCATCCCCAAGTCCATCCAAATAACTGTATATCCATTGTTCCCTCCACTCTACCATAGCTGCTTCAAATCCAATTTATACCAAGGGCAGCTGATTTGCTACTGGGACAGTTTCTGCATTTTGGACACTCCACATGAAGCAATTTATCAATTTCTTTTTTTTTTATTGAGTACTTATAAGGGTTAAACATGATGATCCTGATATGAATTCTAATTTTAATGAATACATAATTCAGTAGAGCAGATGAGACAGGCACAAAATTATGATGCAAAGTATAAAATAAGACTGTAACAAGAGGTACAAAGTGTCACGGCTCACCAGTTCTTTCATCAGTAGAAGAATAAAGGACAGCACTGTCGCATCAAAGAATTCAAAGTGAGCAGACTTTTGATAGTGTACATCCCCTTAGATGGAAATACTGGCAAAGATTTTCTTATTAATTAACTACATTCTTTAAGGACAGTGATAGTCACAATGAATGCCTTAGAACTGACCACCAACTAAAAAAGGTGAATGTAACAATCATTTCAGTGTAACTACTCCATAGTTAAAGGGCAGAGATCTGAAAACATTATCAACACCACGTTATTTTTATAAATCTTTAGCATTTGCTCTTCTTATTACACAAGGCAGAAAGATCAAGGCACTTAAAGCTTAAATAAGCAAAGATAAATACCAGTGAAAAATTAAAAAGGTTTTTCAAAAGCCAAGTTTGCAAATACTTATTAGTTGTCCCACAAATATTAGTGCGGTGAGTCTCAGTGATGTCAAAAAACAAACAAACAAACAAACAAACAAACAAACAAAGTAAAGGAATTTTCTCCACTCCATGACATTTATTGAGGATCCAGGCAAGAAGTATCTTTTTGTTGGCAGAGACATTCACATTAAACATGCATTAGAAAACTGTTCAACTATATAGGGCACAGGGAAGTATAAGAGCCTCTGCATGAAATTCAGACTGCATTTTGAATCAGACAAGACTCATCACGAGTAATTCTCTACTATGCTGTAAGCTTCACAGGGAGAAGAGAGGAAAATTCATCACAATTATCATGAACTAACCATATACCTATATTCAAAACCTGCTAAAGTTTCTTAATAATTCAATGCTGAGAAACTCTTTCCAGAGGAAATGTGTTTACAATTTCTTTAAGAATTGTAAAAGAGAACAACTACATGTAAATTCCCAGTTTTAATTTTTTTGGGGGGGTAGTGATGAAGTAGGGTGAGTAGGAAAGCAGGCTGCTAGGAAGTACAAGTTACTACTACAAGTGACTGCAAGTTTTTCCAAAGGAAAAACTATCAAGGAAATAAATGAGTGGGAAAATACAATGGCAGATTTCCGATATAAATTTAATACCATGATGATGATAGTAGACCTCATTTCGGTCACAATGGTATGTGTTACAACATCATATCTTGGACTCCTCATATCTTTTTGTCACACCCCCATCCAATCCATCAGCAAAACTTATTTTACCTACAAAACACCGATGGCTTCCACATCCACCTTACTGCAATTCATCACTATCTAATAGCCTGGATTAATGCAATAGCTTTCCAAGTGGACTCCCTACTTTCATGTCTGCCTCCATAGCTTATTCTTTTTTTTAGTTGCAGTATACTTAACATACAGTGTAATTTTAGTTTCAGGTGTACAATATAGTGATCCAACACTTCCATACATCACCCAGTCCTCATCTCAACAAGTACACTCCTTAATCCCCATCACCTACTTCCTCCCTCCTCTCTAGTGTGTTCTCTAGAGTTAAGAGTCTGTTTCTTGGGGCACCTGGGTGGCTCAGTCGGTTAAGCTTCTGACTTTGGCTCAGGTCATGATCTCACAGTTTGTGCATTCGAGACCCGCATCAGGTTCTGTGCTGACAGCTCAGAGTGTGGAGCCTGCTTCAGATTCTGTCTGTCTGTCTCTCTCTCTCTCTCTGCCCCTCCCCTGCTCACTCTCTGTCTCTCTCTCAAAACTAAATAAATATTTTTTAAAAAGTCTGTTTCTTGCTTTGCTTCTCTTTTATTTTCCCTTTGCTCATATGTGAGATTTAAGAAACAAAATAAATGACCCATAGCCTATTTTTTTTAACACAGGAGCCAGAGTGACCCCCTCCCAAAAAAAAGCTCATAATTTCCTTCATCTGCTCCAACCCCCACAATGGCTTTCTCCCATCTCGGAGGAAAAGACAAAGTCATTACAATGGCCTGAAACAGGGTAGACCTCTGCTACTGCTCTGACCTCATCACCTCCTAGTACTTTTCCTTTTGATCACAGCACTCCAGTCACAACAGCCTCTCTATTGTGCCTTTTCCATACCAAGCACATTCTTGTCTTAGTGCCTTGTCACTTGCTTTTGATTCTGCCTGGAACATATTTGCTCCAGTTATCTGCATGACTCACATACTCATTCCATTCAGGTCTCTGTTCAAATGTCCCCTGATAAGGCAGGTCTTCACTAACCGCACATTTGCAAAACCCACCTCAAGGAATATTTTTTCCACATTCACAGATGAGAAACTAAAGCTCATGTAGTTATTAAGTGATAGAGCTAAATTTTAATCTTCAGATTGTCTGATTTCAGAGAACAAGTTCTTTCCATCCACCATGCTAGCAGTTTACAGTTGCCCAAGAGACAGAGGTGTCTTGATATTTAATGAAACTGTAGCTTCCTGGAGCCAGGAAGATCCTTTAGAAATGGTTTTGTCTCTACATTAATATAAGATGGGTGACTTATAAAAATGAAATTTTTAATCAAAGCCTGGGAAAAATTTCATGTTGTTACAAATTAAGAAGAGTTAAGATTTAATGAAGAAAAGTGTGAACTTATGCCTCAGGTATAAGTCCTTTTTAACGAGATTATAAAACTCCATTCTCATTTCATGTTTATGTACAGATCTAATATTAATAGCTTTATTTTTAAGCATACCCATCTCTGGTAATCAAATCAATGGCTTAAGATTAGTCACTCAACCCCATGTCCCAGATACCTCCACCTTAGGGTAAGTCTGTGTGTGTGCATGTTACCTAAAATGCTTAAAGTTGAAATATTCTCTTGAGAGTGAAAAGTTTGAACCAAACTACATAAAGAAACAAGGATAGCTTTTAGAGGGAAGATGGCGGCGTAGGAGGACGCTGGGCTCACTGCGCGTCCTGCTGATCACTTAGATTCCACCTACACCTGCCTAAATAACTCAGAAAACCGCCAGAGGATTAGCAGAACGGAGTCGCCGGAGCCAAGCGCAGACGAGAGGCCCACAGAAGAGGGTAGGAAGGGCGGCGAGGCAGTGCATGCTGCACGGACTGGCGGGAGGGAGCCAGGATGGAGGGGCAGCCTGCCGGCCAAGCAGAGCCCCCGAGTCTGGCTTGCAAAAGCGGAGGGGCCGGACGGAGTGTGTTCTGACAGCAAGCACGACTTAGCCTCTGGGAGGTCATAAGTTAACAGCTCTGCATGGAAAGCAGGAAGGCTGGAGGACAAAGGGAGGGAGAGTTGCTGAGGTCCCGGATGACAGAGCTCAGTTTGGCAGGGAACAAAAGCGCTCGCCAGCGCCATCTCCCTGGCCCATCCCCAGCCAAAATCCCAAAGGGAACCAGTTCCTGCCAGGGAACTTGCTTGCTCCCCGCAAACACCAACGCTGTGCTTCTGTGGACCTACCCCTCCAGCAGCGGGTCTGACTCCCTCCTGCTGCCACAGGGC